GTAGTAGTAGTACTAGTAGTAGTGTTACTAAGAAAGAAGTCAAAACTAAAGAAAAGGAGAAACCCAAGGAAGTAGAGGAATTCACCCTCAGTGATAGTGATGACAATGAAAATGGCCAAGTAAATGGAGAAATTGCTGTGAGGCAGAGACAAGAGCTAGATCCAGAAAAGAAAAAACTTATAGAAATGAGAAATCAGAAACTGCAGCAGATGGACAGAATAAAAGAGCCTAAATTTGGACCTGCCACCAAAAGATTGCTTAGCAGTCCAAAGAAGGTATGTCTTTATGACATGTAAGGGAGTGGGGGGGGGACGGGGCTCACACTGAATGCAGTAAGATTAATGGGGTAATGCACCTCCTCCTGGCTTTGAGTAGAACACTAAAGCTCATGATTATTCAAGTATGTTGGAAACAAGGTGTGTGTTAGTCTGGTTACATTCAGTGAGATTCCCTACAGAGTAAGTTATCACTACCTAGTGTGACAATGATAGCTAGTAAGATGGTTTCTTTGTGAACAAACTCTATGCAAACTTCATAATGATGCTTCTACACAAAGAATATTTGTAGAAAGTTTTATCACGCCATCAATCATTTTGTTTCTGTAGAAATCATAAAGATGATTGAAAACTGAGGAAGTTATTGGCAGTCTTTGTTCTTGTAATATTGCAGGTCTCTCCAAACTTGCCTGGCACTGGGAAAGCTGTGTATAATCCCAGGCCCTGGGCAATGACAAAAGCTGCTAGTGTTGGGGTAGGTATCTTTAGGACAGTTTTTGTCAATTTTATAAGTATGTTATATACACTGTGAATTTGAGAAACTGTACTTCTTGGCATAATACAAGTGGAAGATGTCTGTTGTTGTGACACATCCAACCCCCCCTTGTTTATTTATTTTACTAATTTTTTATTGAGTGATTGGTTTAAAATTGGTTTAAATCCATATTTTCAATTCACAAACCAGTGTTAATACCACACTTTATCAAGCTATATACCTCTCCATGTTTTCCAGGACATAGGTTCTAGTCAGGAGTCTCAGAGTTCAAGGGGAGCCTCCTCCTCTGCTGCCTTCACCCCAGACTTTGATGAAGATTTGAAGCCTCCCCCCAAGCTGCACAGGACCACCTCCCTGCCCAAGAAGTTGTCAGAGCCACAGGCCGTGACCTCTCTCAAGGTGCAGAGAGAATACAAACAGGTTGGAGACTGTCTGTCTGTCTGTCACCTTGGGCATAACTTAATGAGGACCTCTATCACAGAAGTTATATTATAAGATTAACTGCTCCATTTTGCATTTCTTCCATGATGAGATAAATCTTACTTCATGGCAGTGATTACAGAAAGAGGCTTTAACGGCATTTGAAATGTTATGATATTGTTATACATGATATTAATTCCTTTATCACAGTTGCTTATTTACAGTGGAAGAAAGAAGTAAGAATTATCTTGTTTCCTGCTGTACTTTCAGCTGTTCACAGTGGTACGCAACGTTAAGGAGGCCCACGAGTGCCAGGAGCATGGAGAAACTCAGGAGTTCTTTGATGACATTGAGTACCTCCTGGATGGACTCAGAGATGTACAGAGCCCCAGTACACGGTGTCTAAGGTACCTTGGGTGTAGGACAGATATAGATATAGTACTGAAAAGAATAGATTACTGGATAGGATAGGATAGGATAGGATAGGATAGTAGGATATAGTACTGGAAAAATGACTCTTTTCACATTGCACGATACAGTGTTCTGTATTGCACCAGTTTCAGATAGTGACAGCTTCATAGCTTCATAGCTATAACTTAAGAGAGTCAGCTAAATAAAGCCCCCATAATCCACACTGCCAGTTGGAACACTGTTCCTTGCAATGTGAAAAGAGCCACAGATCACTTACTGTGGCAGCATACAATGTGATGTCTACAGTAAAGTCTTGGTTCAGTTGTTTTTTACACTTTATACATCGTGAGGAGAATCCTCTCTTGTCTTGGTTGCTGTGGTAATTTGTTAGTGGTAGCTTTGTTACAGTAATAGAGTATTGATGTATACCTCCTATGGTTGCACTTTATCTTTACATAATAATGACAATAACTGCTGCACTGGAGAGAAAATGACTTGAATTGTGTTATTTTATTGTTGTATAAGATATGAAAGTTTTCTGCTGTTGTAGTCCATTACTATTTCAACATTCTGGTTGTAAGCAACTGTTTTGTTTTTTGTTTCAGTTGTATGGGGCTAGCCACCAAGAGTGCAATGGCAGCTTTCAGGATGCATCTCCGTGCACACGGCGTTGTCACGAGGATATTCACAGCTCTTCATGATGCTTGCTCACATCCCGTAAGAACAACATTGATATGATACTTCATTTGTTGTACTGTGTGTTGTAGAAAAACAACAGTTTGAAATCTGTATATGGTATAATAAAACAATTTCATTTGTTCTGGAAAACATCTTTCTTCCTTTTTTTTTATTTTGAGGGGGGGAAGTTGCATTTTTGATGCACTGCCAATATTATGTCTTTAGGTCTGATTATGAATGTAGCTAACATTCCTCCCTTGCAGAGTTTGGCTCTGGCCACAGCCACTGTGATGCACATGTTGAGTCGTGACAGGTTAAATATGGACCTGGACAAGGAGTCGCTAGAACTGATGGTGAAACTGCTCAGCGTTGACGCCCAGTACACCTCAGAGAATGTCAGCACAGACAGGGAGTACCAGAAAACACGGGAGAAGGTTACAGAGCTGCTGACACAGATCAAGAAAGAGGGAGGGGCAAAGCATCTGGATTTGACTGACATATCTGTAAGTATGATTATGCCTGGGATTTGGTTTATTTTATACTGAGATGAAAGTTATTTATCTTTATATACAACTCTAGACTTTTTATTCCAACCACTAAAGCATTCCTGGGCATACAACACTCTGAGATTGGGTGCTCTTATCCATTCATTCACTCACTCATTATTTTATTCCTTCATTCATGTAATATTGATCTTGGTTTTATGTGAAGAAATACCAGTACTATGCTCCTTTCTTGTAACTACATTGTAGGAGCAATGTGGCTGTATTGGTTCAAATGGTGATTATTATCGAATTAAAATACAGGTCAGATCAAAACTGGACATGATCCATTTTTATTTATTTATTTATTTATTTATTTATTTATTTATTTTTTGTAGTTTTTCAAAGGTATACTATCAAGACAATCCATCCTGGGAAAAACACCCACCCCCTCCTGTTATGAGTAGCATACTGAAAATCAACAAAGTAATATTAAGAAAAATTATGCCTGCCTTTAATAAAAATGTATCTTCAGGTAGAGGTGGGGTAAACATCATCTCACTCATCTAGGTTTCCTTTTGATGAAATGACTCTTACTTTATAGTGTTGTACCCCCTACCCTTTATCCCTCAATCACATTGCCTTCTTTAATCAAGGTGCATCCCCTGGTGGAATTAGAGAAAACAAATCACACTCATCTTTTAATCTTAGGCCTTTTTAAGTGCATAAGTGAGCTTCCTGAATCTTATAATTAGTAGCCAATCCTTGTGTTTTAAATTTCATTTTGTTTCCTTTCTTTCTTATATTCAGTAAAATAGTCAAGAAATGTATAAATATATATAAAATGTATTTTTCAACAGTGTTGTATTTTTTTGCTGGGATGGGGGAGTGGGGGGGGGGGGGTTCCAGGGGTAGTTGGTACTTGTCTAGGGGATGGGGGGGGGATGTCCTAGAATCTTTTTCGTTTTATGTGATATTGACCCTGTACATAACAGTAGAAGTCTGGGGTTGAACCGTCACAGTCACTTTGTATACTGCTGTATTATTTTGTCAGTCTAAAAGTTTGAACTGATTTAAGTTATCTAAACATGTGTTTTCTACATGGTCTTTTTGAAGACTAGATGACAGGGAGAAGTACCTCATAATGACATTATTAAGATTATTGTCTGTCTATACATAGATTTAAAAGCACCCATAAAGAATTATCCTCGTATTTGTAAGATAGTCACTAAGGAAGAATGAGTCTTGAATTTAAGGGTGCATTCCCAGAGGTTTAGATCGATCCAGAGATTAAGATTTAGATCGACCTAACTCCCTGGGGGTTCATGCTAAATTGCAGTCAGCCAAGCGCGCACCATAGTTAATTACCCCCTTACAGCTTTTAGTAGGCGGGACAGACGCTTAAGCCGGCTAAGCTGACAGTAATCTAGTGGGACTCCCCACAGGGATAGATTGATCTAAAATCTATGGAAATGGGGTCTAAGAAGACTTCCCACATTTTTCAAGCTACTTAAGATATTTGTACACATAATAAAAGTAACCATTACCAGTGTCTCCTCAGAGCATTTCTCTGTATTCCAGACTGGCAAGTTGGCCATGGAATCCATGCTGAGTCTGACCTCAAGGAAAGCTGGAGAGTGGTTTAAGGAGGAACTCAGAGCCCTGGGAGGACTGGACTACTTTGTGCAATCAGGTAGGACTATAGTGAGACTGACTTTAGAAATAAGTTCATGAATGGTCTAAGTGAAGGCAGATATATACAACAGTCACTGTTTAGTCCTGGTGAGGGTGTACCTGGTGTCTTACCCTCTCTGCAAACTGTCTTATCTCTGCTGTCTCCATAGCTGACCATGTATAGAGCCAATGTGTTGTTGGTATTATAACTATAATAATATTAATATTGATAGTAATAGTTTATTATTATTATTATTATTATTATTATTATTATTATTATTATTATTATTATTATTATTATTATTATTATTATTATTATTATTATTATTATAGTTGTTGTTGATTATTAGTATTATTATTATTTATTACAATAGTTATTATTATTATTATTATTATTATTATTATTATTATTATTATTATTATTATTATTATTATTATTATTATTATTATTATTATGTCAAGGCCTTAACAGGTAGACTTAAGTATGCACTGTGTGAGCTGATATCACCAAAGTTCTTCCATGGAGCTACTCTTTATGGAATTTGGTGTGAACAAAAAATTGAAGCCAAACAAAGAAGTGTCTTATTAGGGTTATTTGATGTGTTTGTGTGTAGGTCACTGTTATTTCATCTTCCAGGCCATAGATACTGACACCTCATACAGAATATAACTTTAGAAAGGCGTAAACACAGAATCCTCACCACGTTGTAAACACAGAAGCCTCTCCTTTAACTATGAACATGATACACCTTCCTGACCCCATTTCCAGGACACATATTTTTTCTCTTCTTGGCAGCTGATGAAGCTTTGCTAAGATAGGATATTAAAGGGTTTCAAGGGGAAATGAATCATAAATTGTCTTCAAAAACAATGTTGTGTCAAGCCCCACAGTATCATGTTCTTATTTCAGTTGCTGACTGTGTGGATTATTTCATCATGGAGGATGAAGAATTATCAGAGTCCCATGTTGACAAACTTAGGACAATAGACCGCTGTCTGAGGGTCCTAGAAAATGTAAGTTGGAAAAGGACTTCTAATATTTAAGAGAAGTTATAGACTCCTATTTCATTGAACCTAAAAGGGCTTTTGTGAGATTACTAGACATCATGTTATCCATCCAGTCCTAGTTATACTCACTGTACAGGGGGTTCTTGGTGTGTGATAGAGTTCTGTCTCTGCAGGGTGTCATACAGTGAATTCTGTGTTAGTTGGTTTCCAGCACCAATGTCACTGTTAATACAGTAGTAAGGCCATAATTAAGGGCATAAAGATACACTTCTTAAGCTTAAAAACATCACTAATGCTTATCTAAGATGGCCATATAGTTCCCTCTGAATTGTATTTCTAATGGAAAGAACAGAAATGTAAACAATAGTTATTTATAGAAATGTAACCACAAAGGTTTGCATAACAAGATTCCAAGGACAATTGTAGGTGATATACCTGTATTGTTCAAAACATACTTGAAGATGAGTATGTAATTGGCTTTGTGATCTACTCCTGTATGTCTGTATGAGAACTGGCATTGAGAAAATAACAGGAAAGGTAAGAAAAATTGTATTGTTAACATATGGGAACAGTGAAGAGCATTTTTGTGTTTTGTTTATTTCAGGTGACTTTCATGAACACTGAAAATCAGACATATCTAATTGGCTGCAAGAATTCTACCTTAATCACAGCTCTCTGCAGGTTAGTGAAGCTAATTATGTTATTTGTAGCTAATTATGTTATTTGTAGCTAATTATGTTATTTGTAGCTAATTATGTTATTTGTAGATTGTGTCACTGAAACTAATCACTATCTTTGGCAGAGATGAATTCCTCTGGTGTTGGAAAATGATTACACTTACAGTGTCGCCTATTTTGTCAGCCTTCACATTGCTATATGGATGGAAGTATGGGATGAGAATCATTTGTAATGATAATAATTTCACCAGTATAAATTGCCTTATACATGTTTCATTGTAATGGAAAAGAAGATATATTGACATCCTGTTTAGTCATTGATTTATCTGAGACATAATGGATTAAGTCATCCCAATCTTGACATGGACAGAATAGATTTTGTCTCTGAAACTGAACAGTAACTGTATGGTATATATGTCAGGAATAGAAGTATAGGCTAAGGTTAATTTTGGTGTCTTCCAGGGGTTTAAAGGTGTGTGAAGGAGCCATGAGTCAGTACACCCTGAGTGACACAGATAGTAAGACAGTGGACAAGAACAGCACAGGATACATTATCTTCCATACCCTGCTCTCAATACTCAGGGTGCTTCTGAATATAACACATGATAATGGTAAGTAGGGATACTCAGGGTGCTCCTGAATATAACACATGATAATGGTAAGTACTAGTAGGGATACTCAGGGTGCTCCTTAATATAACACATGATAATGGTAAGTATTGATACTCAGGGTGCTTCTCAGTATAACACATGATAATGGTAAGTAGGTATGAGAGAAATACACCAATTAATGTATGTGATTTGAAAAATTGTTTCAATTTAACCAAGAAGCTGATACAAGAAATCAATACTGGTTTCAATTTAATTCACTTCATAATTTACTATATTTACATTCGTAACAAAGTTTTATTTGTCATATTTCCAGAGTTTGGCAGTACCAAGGTTGGTTCTCAGCATGGACTTCTGAGCACAGTACTGCTGTGTATACTACAGATACCCAAGTACGCACCCTCAGACCAGAAGTTTGATCTCTTAGTCTTGGTAAGTCTGTCTTCTGTGATACAGGACTTTCTGTGAACCAGACAGCTTGTTCTACCATGTCCCAGACCTGTACCCTCCTGTATGTCCCAGACCTGTACCCTCCTGTATGTCCCAGATCAGTACCCTCATGTATGTCCCAGACCTGTACCCTCATGTATGTCCCAGACCTGTACCCTCCTGTATGTCCTCAGACCTGTACCCTCCTGTATGTCCCAGACCTGTATCCTCATGTATGTCCCAGACCTGTACC